AAAAAAAAAAAAAAAAAAAAAAAAAAAAAAAAGCATCACAAGCATGCAATACCTGCAGAGGCCAGAAGAGGGCATTGGATCTTCTGGAACTAGAACTACAGACAGTTGTGAGCTGTCATATGGATGCTGGGAACCAAACCCTGGTCCTTTGGAAGAATAGCCAGTGCTCTTAACCACTGGACCATTTCTCTAGTCCCCTGCAAACCTTTATTTTTAAAATTTATTATTTTAATAGTATGTATGTGTGGGTCTCTTTGTAAGCATGTGAGAGCTGGTGTCTTCTCAGCAGAGGACAGAAGGGTCAGATGCCCTCCCTGGAGCTGGAGTTGTAGGTGATTGCACACTGCCAACATGGGTCTTGAGAACGGGACTCGAGAACCTGCTCTTAACTGCTGAGCCACCGCTCCAGCCCCCAAACTAAGTATTTTAAGTCAAGTTTAAATAAAAGGAAACTCATTTTTCTAGTTATGTCTAAATTGAGAAAACAAGATTTCTATTTGCTTTTCTTTGTTGGATCACTAGTTTCTTCTTACCTAGTGATAGTTAGTTGTAGAGGTTTAAAACTTATCCAGAAGGTGAGTTTTAATGAGAATGGTGATAAATTATGATTTTTCTCATCCGGGTAGTTTAGCTACACAAGTGCTTACTAAGTTTGTTACAGAAAGACCACTATGTGCTGATTCTGGAAATAACAAACGTTTCCCAACATGCTCCGCTTCTACGATATTAAAGTCCTCCTTGCATGCACACGGGATTGGATATTGCAATTTTGACATAAGCCACAGAACTTTTTTCAGAGTGTTGATCCCAAAAACAAAGTGATTGTAGCCAAGCTTTAATGTTCTTCTTTAGGAAGGTTTTGTTTTTCTTCTGAATGAAAGTTCATTGTGACTTGCTCTGCTATCATGAGAGAGCTATGGGAGACAACAGTACTCTCTGAGGGAGTCTGGCTCTGCACGTTGTTCCTTTTAGATGCTGTTGATGGGAGCTATTCATAGGAAGGACTAGCCTCCTTTTCTGTGATGCCTCTGCCCTCCCCTGGGAGCAGAAGGTGCTAAATTGCCGTTCTGAGATCCCAGAGGTTCTTGCTGCCCTTCCGACTTCAAGTCAGTGATGACCTGTTTTCTGAAACAAGTATATCCAGCCTCCCTTGGGAATGTTACAAGGCCACCCTATGCAAGTTGAAAAAAAAAAAAAATGAACACATCTTTCTAGTGCATCCTTCAGGATAAAAAGAGTTGATTTAATTTGTGAAGTCTTTAGGTACGCTTCACTGAAGACAGAAGACAAGCCAACCTAGAAATAGGGAATAAGAAAACTAAATGTTTGGATAACACGAAGCTGGAGAGCAACAGCTTCTTCCGTCACCTTGAAAATAATAACCACAAAGACAGAAACTGAACAAACCTCTGTGTTAAGACAGAACTCCCCGATGTGGTTTCCTGGGTCTCACGCAGTTGTGAGGGAGAGGTATCATTCACAACATTGGAGCTGTAGAGGCCACTAAAATGTGTAACCTCTGCCTAGGGCTTTCTGAACGTGGTATGAATTATTTTGCCTCAGGATTCAGTCCCTCAGACTTAAGTGGTCTTGTTACCTGTCCATTCACCCCCCCATCTCTGGACCTAGAAGAGGATTGGAATCTGGAATCTGTCAACACTCAGTGAAGATTTGCGATCTAAGGTTAAGACGCTTCAACTATTGAACTCACTTTTCTTTATAGGCAATGCGTCCCTAACAATTGTCTTTACACCAACAGAAAGGGGGAAAAATCCCAGGCAGAAATATAAAATAAAATGAAGTGTCTGCCCCAGAACTTCGAAGGTATGGCATCATAACATCTTTGTGATTTTTAAAGTTTTGCAAGCCCTGAAGGTTTTATTTATTAGGAAAAACAGATACTGAAGGTCTCCTTTCCCATGACTTGGAAATACATGTCAGCATAACCTGTCAGAACTCGATGGAAAAGTATTCAGTCAGTCCCAGCTAAGTATTTGACGTCTGATGGAGTGGGCTTGAAATTTCCATGATTCTGCATTTGATATTCATCAGGAACATGAGTTCATTCATCTGGGAGTTGGCAAGCCAATTAAAAAAGATTTGTGTATTTTTAAAAATTTTATTCTTCCTAACGTGGCTTGTAAGTTCCCAAGTTTGATTTTTATGATTTAAAAAAAAAAAAAAAACCACTTTAGGTAAAAAGCAGTTTTAATTTACAAAGTAAAGTTAGGAGAATAGAGGTTGGAGGTTTACATCGAGAGGGTGGATATGGAAGCGCAGAGATGAAGTAAGGAGCAGAACTCTAGAAGCTGTACCAGTTCTCAAGTGTCTGCATGCCGCGGTCGCCTTGCACAGCGCTCCAGAAAAAGCTCACCTGCAAATCCCTGCGCGGGCTAAGAGTGGCAGGATTCCTAAAGAGGCCAACAGGCTCTGCTCTCTACAGCTAGAAAGCCAGAGAAAGTGGCGTCGCCTTCCCAGCTGCAAGCCTCTGCCACCTGTTCGCATCGGACCCCTAGGGGTCGTTCCCGCGGCCTGAGACCTATTTTTCCAGCAAAGTCCACAGAGATTCGAGTCTCCGAGCCAGCCGGCCTGCGTTATCCCGCGGACTCAGCCAGGACTGGCCGGGTGGCGGCAGCGGCGTAGCATCCGCAGGGACCTCCAGCTCCCGCCACTCGCCCGTGGGCAATCCCCTGCCCGGGGTGGGGTGCTCGCCCACGGGAGAAGCCGCGGGGCGGGGCGGGGC